AAAAAAAAAAAAACAAACAAACAAACAAAGGAAGAAGAGGAAGAAGAAGGGGAAGATAAAGAAGATTATGAGGAAGAAGAAGAAGAAGAAGATTATCTCGTAAGCGCCAAATTCGCCTATCAAACTCAGCGATCGATCTTTTGCTTTTTACGTACAATCAACACGATTTTCTCAGGGTGCCCAGAAGAAGGGAAAGCCACAAGTGCCAACCTGAATCTAGCGCCGATTAAGCAGCCAGATACCGCCAGAGATACTATTTCCAAGCCGGTGGCCAGAGAGAGTACTTCCAAGCCGGCGGCTGGGAGCGATGGCCATGTGGAGCATTAACTGGCTGAAGAGGCGGGGTGCCTGACTGCGCAAAGGATTCAGAAGAAGAAGAACAAGTGTAAAGGAGGTGGGGGGGCAATGCCAGCAATAAAATAGAAAAGGGATGAATGGGTATCGATGGGCATGTGGAGCATTGACAGGCTGAAGAGGCAGGGTGCCTGAATGCGCAAAGGATTTTGGATCAGCAGAACAAGTGTAAAGTAGGGAGGCCAATGCCAGCAATAGCAGAATAGAAAAGGGATGACTGGGTATGTTTAAGGGATGCCGGACCCACTTTCCAGGAGGGGTTGCAGATATTCGTCTGTCTATGGGACGCTGGACCCGGTTTCCAGCAGGTCCTGCTCCCCACCGATCGACTGGAGCCGACAGCGGGACTACTGTCGAGCGGTGCGCTTATCAACCTCAACAGTACACTATGCACTACCAGCCTGTTTAATCCACCACTACCTTTCACGCTGTTGGGAAAAGTGGGAATATACCCTCTACCGCATCCTCCGGTGACTGGGCCCAACGGCGGCCACCGTTGATAACGTTCATCAGCGCCCTGTGTTGCGTTCCGTCCTTCCAAACTCTCGAGGCCTTGCCCACGGCCCATGTATGGCAAAGGTAATGGTGGTTAAAAAACGGAAAAAAAAAAGGAAAAAGACGCAGAATATGTGACGTCCATTGCAAGAGGTAAACCACGCCATAAGCTAGGATGACCCAAATCTCTCTCTCTCTCTCTCTCTCTCTCTCTCTCTCTCTCTCTCTCTCTCTCTCTCTCTCTCTCTCTCTCTCTCTCT